GCGGATAAACCTTGAACCAATATATACAAAATCATTATCTTATTGTATTAGTCATAAAAACTTACCAAAGATACCAGACTTATAATTTGGTACGCCAGACACAAATAACAAAAAAAGTGTAAAAGACAGCAGATTTAAGAATTGTTTAAATTTCAAGAATTTTTTTGTAAATTTAACCTAAAATGTCTGTAAGAAATCTGTAGGATTAAAGAAGTAACATTCCATTATGTACATCAATAACCGCCTTGTTCAAGACCTTAGCTATAACAAAAGATGTGGAAAATAGAAGTGTGACAGAAACAAACACAAATATATTTTTTGTATTAACAAATGACACATTACTAGACACATATAATAAATCTCAAATGGTCATGGGAAAAATTACAGAGTAAGTGGGTGGCACCAGAGACATCAGTAACGAATAAGTATTCATAACAGATAGACATATTTCGTTTGGGCTTGTATTATATCTGCCTTCGGGTTTATATGATCCGTTCATCCTATTTCGACTCTTCAAAATTCAAGAGTCTATCCTAAATTGAGGTAAATTATATCGCCTTCCAAATACCGTTTCGATTCCTAACATCACCGAAGAGACATTAATTGTCGAAATCTGGATATGGTGTACTAATTTATGCACCTTTTGTTTGCGATATACCATCTTTTCCGCAAGTTTAATGTTTTCTGTTTGATATTAAATCAATATTTAAGATCCATTGTGTTACATCTTGTGATCATTTACTTGGCAATCACCAATGGCAGTCAGCAGGGTTTAAGAACATCCGTTGTTCGACCTGCTAGTCAAATGCGTTTTGTTAAAATATACTTTGTCACTTTTTTGGTCTTTTGGAAAAATGATTGCGTTGGATATATATACAAGTCTAAATTGAAAACAACGTTCAAACCTATGATTGCGTTGGATAAAAACCGCAATTTTTATACGTGTGCATGCAAAACAAATTTATTGGTAGAGGGGTCTAAATACAGCACAAACAACATTTTCCAAAAGACCAAAAAAGTGAAAAAGTATATTTTAACAAAACGCATTCGATTAACAGGTCGAACAACAAATGTTCTTAAACCCTGCTGACTGCCATTGGCGATTGCCAAAAAAATTGATCACCAGATGTAAAAAATGGATCTTACATCTTAATTTAATACCAAACAGAAAACAATAAACTTGCGGAAAGGATGATATACCGCAAACAAAAGGTGCAAAGGTTTTTGTACACCATATCCGGATTTCGACAACTAATGTCTCTTCAGTGATGTTAGGAATCGAAACGGTATTTGGAAAGCAATACATATATATAAATATAATACATATATAATAAATATAATATATAATAAATATATACAACTCGTCTTAACATCAGCCCAACAATGTTTGATCTGTAAATTTGCTTTCGCAAATCTTATATATATATATACAAGTCTAAATTGAAAACAACGTTCAAACCTATGATTGCGTTGGATAAAAACCGCAATTTTTATACGTGTGCATGTAAAACAAATTTCTTGGTAGAGGGGTCTAAATACAGCACAAACAACATTTTCCAAAAGACTAAAAAAGTGAAAAAGTATATTTTAACAAAACGCATTTGACTAACAGGTCGAACAACAAATGTTCTTAAACCCTGCTGACTGCCATTGGCGATTGCCAAATAAATTGATCACCAGATGTAAAAAATGGATCTTACATCTTAATTTAATACCAAACAGAAAACAATAAACTTGCGGAAAAGATGGTATACCGCAAACAAAAGGTGCAAAGGTTTTTGTACACCATATCCGGATTTCGACAACTAATGTCTCTTCAGTGATGTTAGGGATCGAAACGGTATTTGGAAGGCCATATAATTTACCTCAATTTAGGATAGACTCTTGCATTTTAAAGAATCGAAATAGGATGAACGGATCATATAAACCCGAAGTATATATATATATATACTAACATCACTGAAGAGACATTAATTGTCGAAATCCGGATATGGTGTACAAAATTTTGAACCTCATGTTTGCGGTATATCATCTTTTCTGCAAGTTTATTGTTTTCTGTTTGGTGATAAATTAATTATAAGATCCATTTTGTTACATCTTGTGATCCGTTTATTTGGCAATCGCCAATGGCAGTCAGCAGAGTTTAAGAACATCAGTTGTTCGACCTGCTAGTCAAATGCGTTTTGTTAAAATATACTTTTTAACTTTTTTTGGTCTTTTGGAAAATGTTGTTTGTGCTGTATTTAGACCCCTGTACTAAGAAATTTGTTTTTGCATGCACACGTAAAAAAATTGCGGTTTTTATTCAACGCAATCATAGGTTTGAACGTTGTTTTTAATTTAGACTTGTATATATATAAGTCTAAAGATATGCACAACGGTACTAATATAAGATGGTAATATACGAAGATAATGTTATAAATCGTGTTGACAAATGTTTCGGCTTAACAAATAGCCTTCGTCAGTGTCAATTATCATATATATATATATATATATATATATATATAATCAATAATTATATATATATATATATATATATATATATATAATTACTCTAAATATCAGCACAACAATGTTAAATCTGTAAATTTGCGGAAGCAAATTTTTGTTCTTCCCTCGCCGGGATTCGAACTCATGCTATTGGGATATCATGACTACACCGCCTGCACTGTGTCCAGCGCTTTAAACCACTCGGCCACCTAGACTGAACATTAAAATGCTGCTCCCGGTTGCCTAGTGTTACCTTTCCTCGTCAGTAGAATCTAGAGTTGTAACACAGTACATGATATATATATATATTCAAAAAACATTTTCTTGATTAATCATTTAGAGCGGAGAGAGTAGATTTCAAAGAGAGACAACTAAATGTGTTCTTCAATATCTTGCTGAAGTTTTTTTTTAAATACATTTGCCAGATGAAGATAAAGCAGTTGCGCATTATACAGAATATTAATTCCGAGAAAAAGGAAATATTTCTAGTTATTCAGAAACACCCTCTTTTTATACAGAGACAATACTTATTCATCTTTGTAAGCGCTATGAATATGAACAAATGGTGATGTGTGAAAAACGTAACTGAGACAACAATCCAAAGACACAACCAAAAGACATCTGCAGGCCCAGTTACAGTCTTAAACAACGGACAGGTGTCTATCTAACAATATGCATACGTTTAATTGTGAACTTTTAAGGCTACGGCAATTCAACATCTGAGTAACAACATACATTCACAAGATTTACTTGATGTACATATAACTCTATTGAATACCAAATACTAGACCCAATCCAAACATTTATGCAAGCATATTTTTTCTCGTGGTCACTTTGATTTGATACGATTTTAGATTTTCATATATTTATATACACATCTTTTTAATTCTCGTAACAAAACTTCGTGTGAGTCTTATAGTGTTATATATATATGTCCACTTTTGATAGAAATGAAATTGCTATAGATTTGATATAGGGTGCAATGGTCTATCTCACTGTATATATTAGCTGGGACATAATATATATAAGATATATACTTTAACACTTTGAGGGCGTTAGCCCGAATGTGTGTATCTAATTTACACAAAGATATTATTGTCAATGCAAAATGATAGTTTTCAATAATTTAGGAGGGGGTTCTTTCGGGGATTTGACCATATGTTATTGAAAAGCATAATAATTGAAAGATATCCAATTCATTTAAAAACATCTTGGTGTAGATCTATAATACGAGATTTCTACATTCTACGAATTTTTGTCAGAACTATACTGTAAGCTCAGAGAAAAATAGTTTGATAGTGTTGTAACAGTATGACTATCTCCACTTTTTCAAGTATTTTGGCTGTAAAATGTTTGTTATCAAAATTATCTTAGAAGTACCAAGTTTAAATTGTTAGCATGGTTTGGACTCAATCTATGACAAAATAAGCATTTCTGAATTGGGAATATTAGACAATTGAAAAATCCATGATCTATCTCCAATAGAAATATAGGGATTCATTTCTAATACAAAATTGTTTGTCGTAAAGTCTTCTATCTCCAGAAAACCAGGTGCTTGTCAAATATTTATGATATCACGTTTTTAAACTCCATGTTCAATTTCCCATTACTTAGAAAAATGGCACTTAGAACATTATAGGTATATAAGTGTTATATTTTTCTTGATACTAGTATACTTTTTATTTTAAAGCAAATGAAATATTTTTTTATAATATTGTTTATTTTTGAGTTAGTCTGATTCTCATGAAAAATGAAATAATGTTTCAAATTCTATATAGATTTATCCAATCCGGATTTTTACGTTACAGAAATATAAAAATAAGAAGATGAGTTATGATTTAGCTTTAGAAGAAGATTATGCATGATTAAGCTTTAGATGTTTCTATTGGTTGTGACATACTATCATCGAACATTTCAAAAATGTGTTCATTAAATAACTCAATATATGCAAGGATTTGTATAGTAAGAATCGAATTGAATTACGCTTTTTCATCATAAGTAAACACTTTAATTACGATTTGTCATTAAAAGTTACTTGAGCGGGAATCAATAATAATTACATTTAAAATGATTAAAGTCCCTTACCATCACAACAATGTCTATACGTAACAAAAATAAGAAAAATAACTCGATACATGCAGAGACATATAAAACATTGTATTACATGTATATGTCTCTGATACATGTGTACAAATACCGAATAATTGTCCAGGCTATTCCAATCCTTCTTACTATACAAATCCTTGATATATATAAAAATAATGTAGTTATGATTTTCTGAAACTGACTTGGGGCAAGAACAATGATTTCTGAAAACAAGAACACAATCTTCTTTCTTGCGAAGACAATCTAAACTGAATATTGTGTTGGGCTAGCTGTGCTCCTAAGTTAACCATCCTTTCCAGGAAAATGCTCAGGGTAAATTTAAAGAGATTTCTGTATCTCCCAACAAAATGCAGAAATAAATATGTTTCCAATCCGTCTTGATCTGGCTTTTAGTTATCCAAATGGCATATCCGTTTTGTTTTTCCAATATTTATTTTGGAGACTCATCTCTATACAATTTTCAAGAAGTATGAATAGTAGACTAACCCTTATTTTATGACAACGAAAAACAGAGTGATGACCGAACAGGCGGGAATAGGTACATTGTGGATTCTTCTTCTACTATTGCATACATGATATAATATTATATACGTATTACCAGAGACATATAATACAATGTATTATATGTCTCTGGTATTACACTTGAAAGTCTGGATGGGATTTACAGAAAAAGAGAACGATGGGCAAAGAGTGCGGAATAAAGGCAAAAAATATAAAGAATAGAGGATAATTGGCACAAAAAATAAGGAATAGTAAATTAAGGGGTGCTGAAATATAAAGAATATAAAATAATCATGATAATGGGTGGGGGGGGGGGGGAGAATTCAGAAAAATGGTCTAAAAAATTAAGGCACTGGCTATAATTACCTGCAAAAGTAACAATTAAACATAATTATTGTTATTTCCGAGACTAATCATGTCAAAATGTATTTCTAGACAGGGACCAAATTTCATAGGAGATTGCAGGTAACAATGATGTAATTATTCTTGTTACCTGCAATAATACACCTTTAATATCTCTATTTAGTCCAATCCAGAAAAACAGTTACTTCTTCCTGTTGAGGTCAAGCGGAACAAAACAAAGGTCATCAGCAATGAGCTGAGGGAGGAAAAAGTTTGGAAAGCAGACATTTTAAAAGTTTGATAGTTTAAGAAGCAATTTTTTAAAGACAAATTAAAGTCATTGAAAATGCTTTGTTTGATGTGTTTATGATGGTTTAAACATGTCTCTATGAAAAGTTATATGCACAATACATTGATTGAACAAGGCGCCAGATAGCTTCAACTGGTTTGAAAAGTTGTGTAAATTAATAACTTAATCCCGGTAGGAATCAATAGCGATAAGGTGTATTGTACTATACCCACAAAATATATTCAGGGAGGTACATGTATAATGATCTAAAAAATGTTTGATTTGCAAGCAATTTGAAATAAATCGAACAATTAAATTATGATGTAAAAAACATTTACACTAAACTTCTAGATGTGTTGACCATGTTGACCAATTTGATGTTCATTTTTTGCCATAGGGGGTAGATTAAAACAATTCACTATTCTTAAGTATGGATACAAATGAACAAGATGTTGATCGGTGAAAAGTTTATATCCTATCAAAATTTTAATGATACGATTCCAAGATGCAAATTTTGTGCAGTTACATGTATATAGAAGAAATTCTTGTAAAATAGGACCCTGTGCCCAAAGCAAAAAATGAGATCAGAAACAATTTTTAAGATATAATTTATTCTGAATAGACGTGCCTGTATATGTTACATAGGTACGACCTGAAATGTGTTGGCCTCAAAATGCCACCTAAGGCTACATACTGGATGTGCAGCAAGTGCCACCCAAATAGATAGATAGAAGAATTTTAAATGTGTATAAACAATCAGGGGACTTGCTTAAACAAGTAATTTCTTAAATCACTGATTCAATTAACATTTTGTCAAAAAATGTTGTAAACTTGTAAGAGTTGTCTTTCTTTAATAATCACCAATTTAAGTAGTACAAATAAATCATGAGACTAAATGATTTAATTTTATTGTAGCTTTGAATATATGATATTAATGATCATTGGACTAATAATGATGCTATAAAAATTATCAGAACCAACATCTGTGTTTATAGGATGACCAGTCGTGTCAAGTGATCACCCTGTACTGAATCTGGAATAATGACATGAAAATCATTTGTTCATACCTCTATTTTCTTCCAATAAATCACTTCTTTAAGAATTATAAGGGCCCCGCCTAGTGGCGGGTCGCCCTATGGTGATCAGTCTGTCCGTCCGTAACACATTGTGTCCGCTCTTTATCTAGAGAACCGTTATAATTTCATAGTTTATACTTGACATGTATATTAACCAACACCAGAGGGTGTGTCATAATGTTTGTACAACTTCCTAGGTCAAAGTTCAAGGTAAGCAGGGCCCACAGAGATGGCTCCTATCTCAATGATGTCTAGTTATTTTAATTACCCAGCCCGCTATTTTCAACACACCAGAACAGTAATATTTTGATCGCCAACAGTAAAATTTTATTACATAATGTGTAAGCTGAAACCTTGTCAGAATTTTACAGGAAAAATACTCCCACTGCTGAGAAAAATCTGTTAAGAAAGAAATCTTTTTGTAAAGCCTTCATTTTAACATTTTTATGCCCCCCCGTAGCAGAGGGGGCATTAAGTTTTACCTTTGTCCTTTCGTACGTCCCGAATTTGGTTTCTGTTCTCTAACTTTAGTTTGCCTCATCCAAATGTTATGAAACTTATACACAATGCTTATTACCACAAAACACAGATCAAGTTTGAATTTTGGTGGTGTCACTTATACCATTCTAGAGTAATGCCCCTTTACAAATGGAAAAATTGGTTTCCGTTCTCTAACTTAAGTTTGCCTCAACCAAATGTTATGACACTTAAACCTTGCCACTTAAAAGAAGCAAAAGGTCTATTTTTTTCTATTTTACTAACCAAATGTTATGACACTTAAACCTTGCCACTTAAAAGAAGCAAAAGGTCTATTTTTTTCTATTTTACTAATCATGCTAATAGTTAGATATAATCTAAACCTGTATGTTTAAAACTTTGGTAAAACTACAAAATCACAGAATTTCTAATTTGCTACTTAAATGATTGATTTTAAAAAATTTGAACTCCGAGTCCCTGTCCAGAAATTCAGTTTGGCAATTAGTCTTAGAAGTAGCAATAAATATTTTTTATTGTTACTTTTTGTGGGTAATCGTAGCCAGTGCCAAAAATTACAGATACAGAAACGGAGCACAATTTGATTGAATCATAATGTTATTTTAAGCATTTTATTGTTATTTGAACCACATTATTCCTTACTTCATGTACTTGTGAATAAATTTCATTTTAAATCACTTTTTTTCTTCGTAACCTGTTTCTTTCTTGTCAGCCGCTTACAATCACAATATGACTTTTTCCCTCCCAATATACCCAAATATACTGAAATAAAAAGTTTCAGTACAATTTTCATGTTTATGAATGATATAGTTAAAGCATATTGATTTTCTTCAAACAACTCTGTACACATTTGTGTGCATTTTTAGAAGCTTTTTAAAGAGATTTTAATACTTATCTTAGTAAGAGCTATGTACAAGAAAGACCTGAGCATGGGCCTGAATAGACCTGAAAATATCTGGGTCGATTTATTCTAATTGCAATATACTTTTCATTTTTCAATGGATTACAAAATGTACCTTCAAATTTGGATTTTGTTAAATGAAATTTATTAACTTCAACCCATTTAGGTAAAAAAATATTTTTCTGTTTTCAGAACAGAATGTTCAGTTTTATCAAGGATTTGTATAGTATTCAGTATTTAGACAACTATAAAAAAATGTATGCAAATGTATGTTGGTTTTATGGAATTTAATAATGTAATAATCTCTTGACTTTATTTGTTTTCAATCAACATTTGTGATAAAGAATTGCTTTTTCATAATTAAGGTGGACAAGTTTGGATGTTTAAAAAAAATATGGACATGATAGGGCATTTATGAAAAGGACACATTTGGAGTCCTACACAAGCTAGACATGTTTGGGCATACAAACACACGAAGACATTGGAGAATTGGACACAGTTGAAGGGAAGGACATGTTTCTAAGTGTTAAAGATATAATGATTATGTATAGGCAATATTCATTAAATGGTATGACAACTAACAAAAAAATAGCTAGTATGTGAATGACTATACTATATAGATATAAGAAGATGTGGTATGAGTGCCAATGAGACAACTCTCCATCCAAGTCAAAATTTATAAAAGTAAACCATTATAGGTCACAGTACGGTCTTCAACACGGAGCCTTGGCTCACACCGAACAGTAAGCTATAAAGGGCCCCAAAAATTACTAGTGTAAAACCATTCAAACGGGAAAACCAACGGTCTAATCTATATAAAAAATTCGTAAGGGTTCCGCGGAACCCAGTGTCTCGCCTACTTTTGCTGTTAATCGCAGGCTCAACAAATATGAAGGAAAAAAATTTTTTTTTAAATATTCCTCTCTATACTATCTTTTGATTGTAAGTAGCTTCTGTCCAAGTTTGGTAAAATCCAGGATAATTTATGAATCTAATAAATGTTTTAAAAACTTAAACTGCAGACTGTATGTAATGTTGACTGGAAGAAAAACTAAGTCCAATTATAAGTAAAATACGGAAAAAATGGAACAAAATTTTATCAAAATTTCCTTCTAGATACTAGCTTTTGAACATAAACAAGCTTCTGTCCAAGTGTGGTACAAATCCAGGATAGTTTAAGAAAGTTGTTAAAATTTTAAAAACTTTAACCACAGAGTGAATGTAATGTTAACTGGCAGAAAAACTAAGTCCATTTATAAGTAAAATACGGAAAAAATGGAATTTTTTTTTTTACAAAATTTACTTCTGGATACTATCTTATGATCATAAACAAGCTTCTTTCTAAGTTTGGTAGAAATCCAGCATAGTTTAAGAAAGTTATTAAAATTTCAAAAACTTTAACCACAGAGTGAATGTAATGTTTCCTGGCAGAAAAACTAAGTCCATTTATAAGTAAAATACAGAAAAAATTGGAATTTTTTTTTTACAAAATTTGCTTTTGAATATAATCTTATGATCATAAACAAGCTTCTGTCCAAGTTTGGTAGAAATCCAGGATAGTTTAAGAAAGTTATTAAAATTTCAAAAACTTTAACCACAGAGTGAATATTTGTGGACGCCGCCGCCGACGACGACGCCGACGGAATGTAGGATCGCTATGTCTCGCTTTTTCGACAAAAGTCGAAGGCTCGACAAAAACGAGAAACACTTATGAACCACATCAACAAACGACAACTACTGAACATCAGATTCCTGACTCAGGACAAGTGCAAACAAATGCAGCGGGTTTAAACGTTTTAATGGTACCAAACCTTCACCCTTTTTCTGAAACAATAGTGTAACATCACAACATAGAAAGACACACTATAAAATATCAACTGAAATAGCTTAACTCAATCAAAGGACATATTAACACCATTGAACATACACTGAACAAATAAATTTGACCTATGATACAATGTAAATACAAAATAAATAAACTAATGTCTTTTTTCTTTTCAGGTATTCAGTCAAAGAATTTGAATTATGTTTGTGGAATTTGTGATCTCTCATTTTGGAAGAAATCAGAACTAGAATCACATTTGATTGTACATAATAATGGAAGTAAACATTATAGGTGTGAGGAGTGTGGGAAATCTTTTGTGCAAAGTGCTACACTAAAAAGACACATTAGACTTCACACTGGAGATAAGTTGTTACAGTGCAAGGTCTGTGATAAAATATTCACTGTACCTTGTTATTTGAAAAAGCATGAAAAAACTCACCTCAATGAAAAACCCTACATTTGTGACAAATGTGGGAAAAGCTTTGGCCATAAGGGTGACTTGCGGCGACATGAAAGAATTCATTCTGGTATTAAACCACATAGTTGTGATAATTGTGGTAAATGCTTTCAACAGCGAAATTCTTTGATCAATCATATAAGGACACATACTGGTGAAAAACCGCATAAGTGTTTGACATGTGGACAATGTTTTACAGCTCGCCCAACTTTAGTCAGGCATATGGCAGTTCACAACAGTATCAGAAGTCATCAGTGTGATTTATGTGGGAAAGGTTTTGTCAGAAAAGGTGATTTAGTCCGCCATATCAGAACTCACAGCGGTGAAAAACCATTCTCATGTAGTGTCTGTGATAAATCATTCTCACAAAGTCAGGACATGAAAGTTCATATGAGAATTCACTCTGGTGAGACACCATTCCCTTGCTCAGTTTGTAACAAAAGTTTTTCTTCCATCAGTTTAGTGCAACGCCATATGAGGGGTGTTCATAATGATGAAGCATTATTTGAATGTCTTATTTGTGGAAAAAATTATAAATACAGACAAAGTTTGCTTGTTCACAGTAAAGTACATTTTCAAGGAATGTTTCACAAATGTTTGGTGTGTGGTTTAGAATTTAAACATAAATCTTCACTAAAAAGACATGAGCTGAAACACGAAGACTTAATCTCTTTTACCTGTAAAATTTGTAATCAGAATTTTTGCAGTGAGGAAAAGTTCTTTTTTCATCAAAAATCTCATGATGATGATAGGACATTTTATGAAACACTTAAAGCAGACGTATATGAACATTTGGAAATGCAAAATACATCAAACAATGAACAATCAGATAAATCATTGAAGGAAGAAAAGGAACATTTATTTACATGTACCGAGAGCTTAAAATAGCAACCAGTATTAATTTTTTTGTCTCACTATTTTATTCATATCTGAACTTTATTACTCAACTCAAGATTTCCTGGGTTATTTTTTTCATGTAAATTTTATGCTCAGTGTTGTGAATGTAGTCTGAAAAAATAAAATTCAAATTAATCATGTTAATACCTGTATTTTATTTTTATTTGAATCTTGTTAACGGTAATTAATCTACATTAATATGTGTAATTTGATGAGTGCAAATTGATTTGCATAGAAATAATAATTTGTGGGTAAGGATCAAACCCCCTTTCCATTCTTTTTAAACACTGGTAAACGCATAGGATTTCAAGTCAGTTGTTCCCTGCCTGGAAATGTCCTTGATATTTTCCAAAATTGCAAAAATCCTGGAAATACCCTTGCATTTCAAATTTTCTATCGTAAGCATGTTTAAATATTTTAGTTATATCCCTTAATTATTGACTAAAGAATCCTCATGTTGATCTACACTTTACAAATATTTCTGTAAAAGGACACTTGAAGGAAGCTAGTCTAAATGTCTTATAAAGGTAAATCATGGTTTCTTCATCTGTATCTTTTGATGCCATTCTTGATAATGGATGAATGTCTAGGATTTTTTGGAAAATTGAGTGCATTATACTTCCAGGTCATTTGAACTCTGGTGGACATGCAGTTGCCTTATTGGCAATCATACCGCATCTCCCTAATTTTATTTTGAGAGACCTGTGAGGGGGGGATTACTTTTGGATACACTTAAGACAACAACGTCATAAAAACATTGAACGGAAAAATAATCAAAGGCACTAGCTTTGTTTTTATTGCTTTTTTTTGTCTAAGCAACGACTTGAGTTTACTTGGACACTAATATTACATATTTGAGCAGAGGACATGTACATAGCAGACAGAGCTGTTAGTCTGCTAAAGCTTTTCTTCTGCGCATATCTTTACTATGGTGGTAGGTGTTTAAATCTCAATCTGATAATTTGCAGTATAATGACAAGGTGGTCTGTTATTTTTCTTTGGAACTCAGGTTTTTACCTACCATTAAAACTGAAATATTTATAAACTGACAAATATAATACAACAATTTTTTATAAACCCTATAATCAAAATTTTATGGTTTTAGTATCAGGTAACATACAAAACTAAAGCTGTAACTAGAAAAAGGCCTTTGAAGAATCTGATTTAAAATTACATAAATGTATACAAGAAATAATGATTATAAAATCTGTATAGTTACATAAATTATTCAAAATCAGAATTTTTGATAACATTGTTTATTTGGCAGTGTATCAATATCTACCTAATATACAAACTTTGACAATTAATTTCTTATTTTTTTGCTCCAGTAATTTATCATTTCCTGTAAAGACCTACCTATGGGATTAAAAATTTGGGCAAAAATTAAAGGAGTTCATATAACAATAAGAGAAAGACGAGATACAATTTCAGCTACCACATTATATTTTGATTTTTGTGTTTGAAGATTTATGGAACCCAAACACAGACTTAAAATATTTCTGTAAAATGTGCAATACTAATAATACTTTTTTTTACAAAGGATTCCTTCATAAATATAACTTGAATGTCAGAGAAGTTAGAATTCAATTGTCAGTGATGGGAATATACATTAGATAAAGATGATACATGTATATTTGAAAAAGTATGAAATTCTCCTCTTTTTATCTCACCTGGCCCAAAGGGCCATGTGTGCATTTCCCATCACTTGGCATCCGTTGTCCATCGTCTGTTATATTTTATAAAGATCATCTCCTCTGAAACAACTGAGCCAAATTTAGCCAAAATTTGCCACAATCATCATTGGGTATATAGTTTTAAAAATGTGTCCGATGATCCCACCAGCCAACCAAGATGGCCGACATGGCTAAAAATAGAATATAGGGGTAAAATAAAAACCGCTATGAAAAGAGAAAATCTGACAGGGGCAAAAATGCTCAGAATGTTGAGCTCTACCTATTGTCTATTTACTTCAAAACTGTCAGACAATTTCTACTTATTTCCTTTTTATACGACCGCAAAAATTGAAAATTTTTTGGTCGTATATTGGTATGACGTCGTCGTCGTCGTCGTCGTCTGGCGTCGTCCGGCGTCGTCCGAAGACACATTGGTTTTCGCACTCTAACTTTAGTTCAAGTGAATGGATCTCCATGAAATTTTACCATAAGGTTCAATACCACGAAAGGAAGGTTGGGATTGATTTTGGGGGTTATGGTACCAACAGTTAAGGAATTAGGGGCCAAAAAGGGGCCAAAAATAAGCATTTTTGTAACTTCCAGACAATAACTTGTGTGTAAGTGTATGGATCTCTCTGACATTGTACCACAAGGTTCCATATCACAAAGGGAAGGCTGTAATTGATTTTGGGGGTAATTGCCTCAAAATTTTAGGAATTAGGGGCCAAAAAAGGGGCAAAAAACAAGCATTTTTCTAGTTTCATGACAATAACTTGTGTGTAAGTGTTTGGATATTTCTGAAATTGTACTACAAGGTTCCATATCACAAAGGGAAAGCTGGAATTGAGTTTGTGGGTAATTGCCCGAAACGTTTAGGAATAGGGGGCCAAAAAGGGGCCAAAAATAAGCATTTTTCTAGTTTCCAGACAATAACTTGTGTTCAAGTGTATGGATCTCTCTGAAATTGTACTGCAAGGTACCATACCACAAAGGGAAGGGTGGGATTGAGTTTGGGGGTGATGAATCATAAGGGGGTTCAAAAAATTTGGGGGGGGGGGATTTTTTTTTTTTCTTTTTTTTCTTTTTTTCCTTTTTTTTTTTCTTTTAAAATTTTCCATTTTAAGTTGGTTATTTCTGATTAATATTTAAAAGCAAATAATAATGATATGGTAGGAGATACACACCAAACAGGATGTGTAAATTATTATATAATAAGTATTGTGCAATAGCAAGAAATTTTTAATTGCACAGTATTGCACAATTGCAAGAAATCTTCAATTGCACAGTATTGCGCAATAGCAAGAAATCTTCAATTGCACAGTATTGCGCAATAGCAAGAAATATCCAATAGCACAATATTGCGCAATAGCAAGAAATTGTCAATTGTACAGTATTGCACAATAGCAAGAAATATTCAATTGCACAGTATTGTGCAAAAGAAGATACTTCGTATAAATTGCTTATTTCTTGATCAATTTCAATGGGGTTTTATTCTTGAATTCTTGGGGTTCTTTAATATGCTGAATCTAACCAAGTATTAAGTTTTTGGGCCCCGTTTTTAAATTGGTCCACATTGAGGTCCAAAGGGTCCAAAATTTAACTTTGTTTGATTTCATCAAAAATTGAATTATTGGGGTTCTTTGATATGCCGAATCTAACCGTGTGTTTAGATTCTTAATTTTTGGTTCCGTTTTCAAATTGGTCTACATTAAGGTCAAAAGGGTCCAAAATTAAACTTAGTTTGATTTTAACAAAAATTGAATTTTTAGGGTTCTTTGATATGCTGAATCTAAACATGTATTTAGATTTTTGATTATGGGCCCAGTTTTCAAGTTGGTCCAAATCGGGGTCCAAAATTAAACTTTGTTTGATTTCAACAAAAAATTGAATATATAAGGTTCTTTGATATGCTGAATCTAACCATGTATTTAGATTTTTGATTTTTGGGCCCCATTATCAACTTTGTCCACATTGAGGTCAAAAGGGTCCAAAATTAAACTTTGTTTGATTTCATCAAAAATTGAATTCTTGGGGTTCTTTGATATGCTGAATCTAACCATGTATTTAGATTTTTTATTTTGTGGACCCGCTATCAAATTGGTTCATATTGAGGTCAAAAGGGTCCAAAATTAAACTTTGTTTGATTTCATCAAAAATTGAATTATTGGGGTTCTTTGATATGCCAAATCTAACCGTGTATTTAGATTTTTAATTTTGGGTTCCGTTTTTTAAATTGGTCTACATTAAGGTCCAAAGGGTCCAAAATTAAACTTAGTTTGATTTTAACAAAAATTGAATTCTTGGGGTTCTTTGATATGCTGAATCTAAACATGTGTTTAGATTTTTGATTATGGGGCCAGTTTTCAAGTTGGTCCAAGTTGGGGTCCAAAATTAAACTTTGTTTGATTTCAACAAAAATTGAATATATGGGGTTCTTTGATATGCTGAATCTAAACATGTATTTAGATTTTAGATTTTTGGCCCAGTTTTCAAGTTGGTCCAAATTTGGGTCCAAAATTAAACTTTGTTTGATTTCAACAAAAATTGAATATATGGGGTTCTTTGATATGCTGAATCTTACCATGTATTTAGATTTTTTATTTGTGGGCCCGCTATCAAATTGGTTCATATTGAGGTCAAAAGGGTCCAAAATTAAACTTTGTTTGATTTCATCAAAAATTTAATTATTGGGGTTCTTTGATATGCCAAATCTAACCGTGTATTTAGATTTTTAATTTTGGGTTCCGTTTTTTAAATTGGTCTACATTAAGGTCCAAAGGGTCCAAAATTAAACTTAGTTTGATTTTAACAAAAATTGAATTTTTGGGGTTCTTTGATATGCTGAATCTAAACATGTGTTTAGATTTTTGATTATGGGACCAGTTTTCAAGTTGGTCCAAGTTGGGGTCCAAAATTAAACTTTGTTTGATTTCAACAAAAATTGAATATATGGGGTTCTTTGATATGCTGAATCTAAACATGTATTTAGATTTTAGATTTTTGGCCCAGTTTTCAAGTTGGTCCAAATTGGGGTCCAAAATTAAACTTTGTTTGATTTCAACAAAAATTGAATATATGGGGTTCTTTGATATGCTGAATCTTACCATGTATTTAGATTTGTTATTTGTGGGCCCGCTATCAAATTGGTTCATATTGAGGTCAAAAGGGTCCAAAATTAAACTTTGTTTGATTTCATCAAAAATTTAATTATTGGGGTTCTTTGATATGCCAAATCTAACCGTGTATTTAGATTTTTAATTTTGGGTCCCGTTTTTTAAATTGGTCTACATTAAGGTCCAAAGGGTCCAAAATTAAACTTAGTTTGATTTTAACAAAAATTGAATTTTTGGGGTTCTTTGATATGCTGAATCTAAACATGTGTTTAGATTTTTGATTATGGGACCAGTTTTCAAGTTGGTCCAAGTTGGGGTCCAAAATTAAACTTTGTTTGATTTCAACAAAAATTGAATA